ACCAAAACTACTTCGTAAATGTTCAAATGGTTGCTAAATTCGAATTCAGCTGTAAAAAGTAGCATAGAAACATAGAAAACTCGAAAAAGTAGACCGAGGTCATCAAAGGTCAGTGACCTGACCTGACCTTCAGGTGACCTTGACAATAATTGACATCCACCCTAATGCATGAGAGCAACTTCAAATCACATGTTTGAACGCTCGAAACCACGAAAAGACTGCAAACGCGCGGTTAATGCGAGCTGACATACATACGCCGAATCGCGATTCTGGCTAAACATGGTCTCGAAAGGTAGGTGACAGACAGGTCAAAGGTCATTGCCAGGGTCATGAAATCATTTAGGGTAGGTGTAAAACGGATCAACGCGAGGGTACTGAAAGTTTCGTCGCAATCGGCCACTTTTTTACGCGAGTTATTAGTGTATTGCAAGTAATTGTTGATAGGCTTATGCTCATAAAAATAACGTTTGTGTTCTTAGATAATGAAGCATCTTCGGCACTCGCCCTCTAGATGCTGAGCTTGAGCGGTCCATAGACAGCAAGATTACTACAGACAGCTCATCCATCTGACTGTCTTCACGTTCGCTCTGTTAATTATGGATCAATAACTTTGAAGTTTGGAAGCGCCCAAAAAGCACACACAGGACTGGTTACCATGGCAACACCCATCGCTAACAACGACTGCTGATTGCCGAGTCCAAACACTCCGCACTTTTTGATAAATTGAACGTCAAAGTTCTTGGGCGTTGAAATAAATGGCTTGTTTGTGCTAACTTCGTTTTTGATTTATACGATGGTCAGCGGCCCGTTAAACGAAACAATTTATTTCGGCTAGCCTATGTGCTGTTGTCATCGGAGTGCAGTGCATCGATTTTGCATTGCAATTGAAAAACATCTTCTCTTCAGTGTTACAGCAGTCAGCAGGTCGATACATTCTTCAACTAGATACTCTCAAGGAGAAATTCGGATGACTAACTTTGGTGAACATGATAGAGCCGATGGCACAACCATGGATGATAATTGTAGGCACAACAGACTTGACTTAACCCTCGCCAGACCAGGACCTTTTTGCATATCGCGGACGGGCAGGGGAGGAGTTGGTACGACCCCTCTGGCGATTGGCTCCTATGTAGTGATGTCAATTACGGAAAATCGTGATACCTATACCAAACCAAGTGCCAACAATATGAAATATCCATGGAAACATACCGATACCGAACCGACTTGGGAATATGAGGAAAACACCAACTTTTTACCTAATTTTCAGCCTCTTTTACATCAGTGAGGATTCATAATACCAGCAAAGTACCAAGTGCACTCGCCTTGAAATACCAAATACCAAGTTGGTATCGGTTCGGTATCGGTATACTAGAAAGTTGGTATCCGATTGACATCTCTACTCTTATGGCACTTAGAAACACCAAATTTGCAGGGTAGGTGAACCAATAAAAAACCTCGCCTCTGTGCAAATATGGCTGCTCAAGGTCAATTTTTAGGGGGTTTGGGGGTATAAGTGTAAAAATTTCGCTAAAACAGGTCAAAAGTTTTTCGCCTATACTTTTTGATCTAGTACCTAAAGAAGATAGGTAGATAAAAATGTACCAGTGAACTCAGCACGTCTGTGCGCATCGAACTGTATACTTTTTACCAATGTAAATTAACTTAAAATTTTCCTTACGATTAAGTGAACTTAAATTAATTCATCAAGTTAAAGTTAGTCAAATAGCATCATGCCGCATATCATTCGATTCGGCTGATAACAAACAATACAATGTAACCATTTTTGAAGCTCTAGCCTCATTTTGTGCCAAATTATCCTGCACCGTAATGGGGTCTGCCGAGCAACGCGGTCTGATGGGGGGGGCATTTGCCCCCCCCCCCCCCAAGATCTTGAGAACCACGCAACATAGCGACAAGCGGCAAACGGCGTTGGATAGCACCAACGGGCACCTACCTTGTGACCCAATATCATTTACCTCGGGCTAACCGATGACGTCACAAGTCAGGTCAAAGTTCTAATTTTCACCGTTTACAGTCATTTCAAGAAATGCGTTGTAAAATCAAGTAAAATGCATTTCATTGAAAATCATCGATCGATGGGGAAATGTTTGTCAAACACACATTTTGCTATTTGAGGTGACTGATATCAGATCAGGTCACAGGGGTCAGGTCACTGAGGGTCACAATATAAAAATATCATGTGATGCATGTTTTATGGTCCAGTTTATATGCCAAATGCGATTATGTGGGACAGGCAGCCCTTGGGGTCAGTTGAAATTATGTTTTGATGAAGGTCAGGTCAAGGTCAGGTCAAATTAGGTCAAATTTCAAAGTTGATATTTTTGCATAAAATGGGTATCGATTCGATGCAGCTTGTCACGGGGAGTTCAATGATGGTCTTTGTTTTAAGCTAAGGAGCGCAGGTACTATTACATACATTCCGTTTTTTTTTTTCGAAATTCGAATTCTTCTTGGAATATTTTTGAGTTTCTCTATAAAATCTTTTTTTTGGGGGGGGGGGGTTAAAACCCCGAATTTTGAAAATTCGAGATAGCAGTTTTGTAGCGCCGTCTTTCCTCTACACGACCACATAAAGAACTTTAAAATTGCTTGTTAACTGTAGCTTTGGTGAGCGTTTCAAGATGTCATGTTTTTTGCTCATTTTTACTCGAACATGACCTCAGTTTGACCTCAATAACTGCTGACCAAAGGTGGCCTGTGACTTGAAATTTTGTGTGAAGTTGTCAAATTGATGCCCGGGAAGGTACTGAAAATTTGGCGGCGCTGCGCGCCGCCATTTTCTTGCTATTTAACCCTCGCCAGGCGAGGGCCTTTTCCATAACACGGACGGCGAGGGGGGGGGGGGTTGGTACGACCCCCCTCGCGATTGGCTCCTATGGCACTTAGAAACGCCAAATTTAACCACGAGCACTGACGGCGGCTGGGAAGCCGCGGCGCTCTTCCAGGACTTCGTGGTCGGCGCGGCGGGGCGGCGAGGGCGGTGGCTGACTCAGCGGAGTGATCGCACACCTTCATCGTGTACTTTCCAGTTAATTCACACTTAGTGGGCTCACTTTGTTAATGCCGGCGGTGTCATGTTTTTTAACTTAGTTTATTTATTGGAGAGGTGCCTTGAATAAGCGTTACGCTTTTGCACCAATCCTACTTGTTTCACTGTTGTATTTATTTTATCTTTTTTATTGAAAATAAATGAGTTGGTGACCTGACCTGAAAAGACTGAAACCTGAAATTTTCAGGGTAGGTGCCAAAAGGTTGCTCCAGAGGGTATGCCAAATTTGGTGGCGCTACACGCCGCCGTTTTTACGTTCTTTGTGAAAAACCTTAGGGGGTTGCATCAACCCTCCTCGCCGGGCGAGGGTTAACCCGCGCCGTGCTGGGGCCGGCGTTTTCACGCCCCCTCCCTCAGATTTTTCGCAAATATCTAGATGAACGATGACTTTGAAACTTTCAGAGATTGATAATAATATGTATATTGTATAAAATGTATATGTATATCGGATTTTTTATATATGTGACCCAAGGTCAGGCCAATTTTGCGACCTTTATCCACATTATAAGTCTATGGGAGAAAATTTAGATGCGTCTCTTTTGGACGAATGTCGTTATAAACCCTCTCAAACATAGGTTCATAGGTAGGTACCTAAACATGACACACTGAAACGGAAAAATGCACCTGTGACCCTTCTCTGTGCCCCTGAGGTCATCCCAGGTCATGACAGGTCACCAGCCACGCCATGTGTGGATCGCCCACGATCGTAAATACATATATGCATACATACATACATACATACATACATACATGCATGCCTACATACAGTAGTTTTTTTACTGCAACTTTGGATAGAGACGTGCTAGAGCGGTGAAAACACCTCAGATGTGTTCAACTCGACGATACGGATCGACTGATATGCAACATGGCCTTTCCGGTCAGGTCATGACTTTGACCCGAGGTCAAATTTTCCAAATGACCTTTCAAGGTCAACGTATAGTTCATTCGACGCGTCTCGACGAGAGGAACACAATTCTAGCAAAATTAATATCGTGGCTCTCTTGAGTCAAAAGTTAATAACGCAAAACATTTTTTTTAACGGCTTTTTTTAGTTTTTGCTCTCTGGAGGCCAAAACGTTCACCTGAGGTCAAATCTGAGAACAATAATCAGGAAGGTCTGTAAAAGGGCTATCGAATGCGGTTTTACTGCGGCGCTGTATCTCTATTGGTTCCCAAATTACCCGTTGGCAGTTTCCAAAATTGTTGAAATAAACTAAATTTGACCATTGATGACCTCTGGCTACCAGACCAGACCTTTCACCTGACCTAAAAATGACCGAGAGTTTCCGTCATTATTTTTTGTGCTCTTTCTATTGCCGCTTACCACGTGTCGCTACGTGGCCCAGGAGCCGAGTTTGACGGGGGGGGCGTAAAAAGCCCCCCCCCCCGCACGACACGGAAAACTCAGACGACCAGCACCACGGCGTGGGTTAATATTGGACACTTTTTAATTTTTAGGAACCATCCCACTCATCAAAGATTTGGTTTTTTACTTTTGGACCACCTTAGAGTGTAATAGACAATGCCCCTGACTTGGAGGATATGCCATTATCAGACTACCTCAGATTTAGGAACCCCCTGAATCTCAAAACGAATTAGACATTTTTAGTATGACGCAACACTGCGTCACCATTTTGGCCAAGTGTTGAACCAGTCATAACGTTTCCTATCGGACAAGCAATTTGACCTTCAGACGCCCCTCGAACTTCCAGTAGCCCACTCAAATGGAGGGTTAATGGATACGAGCTAATGTTCTCCAAGCCTAACTTTTAGTTCCTCCTTAAGTTCGAACTTCGAACCCACTTTGTTTACTTTTAATGGCCTTTCTTACTAATTGCATTGGCATTTTCATTTCCTACTTACCTTGCAGGGACCTCATTGTTTATTGCCTACTCTCGCTAACCCATCCCCTCCCTTCTGCAACCTGCAGAAGCACCGCAAGGACGTCAACAACTTCGACAAACAATTCACCTCGGAGAAGACCGACCTGACGCCGACCGACAAGCTGTTCATGATGAACCTGGACCAGACAGAGTTCTCCGGATTCTCCTATCTCAACCCTGAGTATATACAGCACGTCTGAGGTCGTCCCTTGGGGTCGTCAGAGTCATCTGAGGTCACCAGGAACGTAGAGGTTACCTGGGTCATCTGAGGTCACCAGGAACGTCAGAGGTCACCTATATCGTCAGGGGTCACCAGGGGCGTCAGAGGTCACTCAGGTCGTCAGAGGTCAACGTCTGAGGCCAATAAGGTCATCTGAGGTGAACATAGACCTAAAAGGGACTCCAGAGATGCGGCATGGTGGATGCTAGTGCGGAATAATTCCGGAAATCAGAGACCGTTGGTCACTGGTTCGTGGTCACTGATTGTTGTGTAGCTGCTGGGTGGGAGCTTAGGTGGAGAGATAGAGAGGGAGGGAGAGAGAGAGAGAGAGAGAGAGAGAGAGAGAGAGAGGGAGAGAGAGAGAGTCGAGAGACCAGTGATACGAGGACCGAGGGCAGCAGCAGCATCCACAGATCGCCTCTCATGTCTGCCGAGGACAGCGTGTGTAGTGTAACGTATGCCGATATTTCAGCTGATGAACTACTAGTCCAAGATGGATATTAGGGGAACAATGACGCAGATAGGAGGCCAGAATCTCGATGTGTGTCTCGCCTGTACGGGGGCCGTGCCTACCGCACTGACCAGGGGCGCCCGAGCTTCCAGCAGTGTATGTATGCGTGGCTGCGTGAGTATGTGCTCGTCAGTGTGTGATCCACTTTTCGAGATGTCCAATCAGTGTTTATTAGGTGTGCGGCGTTAGGGAAACAGAAGATGAATATTCGAGGAATAGTTTAAATGTGTAAGCGCTGGCCGCAGTATTTCGCTATCATTCAGCAATCGCGTACTCGATGTGCGAACTGCTTTCAGTTTGAGGTTAGTGTGACATGTTTTATTGTTCCACTGTGAAGTATATTAACGGCCACGTGTCAGGGCTCGACTTAGCTACACAGACCGGGAAGATATGCATATGATACTGTCAGAGATACGATCCGCGCTGTCCGTCTCCAATCGTGCCGCAGGATACCAACTGAGAGCGTCGTAAGCCGCGCGTTGTGCAGTGTTACAGCCCTTTATGTGAGAGTCAACCGCCACGGATTCTACCGCCATCTCTGGCTGTATGTATGTAACTATATTCCAGTGTAATTTTGAGTAGCTGTGTAGTCTATATCGTGTCTACGTACGCCTAATAGGCGTCTCCACTTATATGCATTCGTGTTTATTATTAGCTCGCTAGGCCGCTGCTCGGCGATGGATTATTGGAGAGCCGCGGCCTGGGATTATGGGAGCCCGCCAAGATCGTCCTTGGCTTGGCAGGTATGTCGAGCAGAAGGGCCCAGGAAGCGCCCCTGTGCAGCGTGCAGTGGGTAGAGGTAGGCCGGATGCAATGCAAAAGTCACGATATATAGAGCGGGGCGGAATTCGCCATGACCGAGGACGGGACTCTGTTCAGACCAAGAACAAAAGTCAGTAGGTACAGGTCTCGCGAGATTAAGCGGTAGGTTTTGCACTTTTACATTTCCGGTTATATCTCAGAAACTAATCGATCTACGATGAAGCCATTTTACACGATCATGGCCGGCTTGTTACCCAACAAGTCGATCGCATCTTCAACACTTAAAAGCTTAAGACGACGAAGATATAGCTTGAAGTACACTAAATTTTCTAGGTGCAAAACCTACCGCTAAAACCCGCGAGACCTGTACCTACTGACGAGGACATGCCGCAGTAAAGGCAGGGCTGGACCCAAAGGATGCATATTACAGAGGAAGGGCGGGATTCAGATCAGACGTGGGGTAGGACTCGAAGGCAAAAGTAAGTTGGGACGCAGGCCAGGAGAAGTGCAGGTTACAGTACAGTGGTATGACGAATACTCAGAAGATAATGAGGAAGAGAGGAACTCAATAGATTCAGAGACAGAGTTGGGGCTGAACTCAGAATTCAGAGGACCGTTTACGAGCCGGGCCACGGAGCGGCGGCGGCCGACCGTACCGTGATATGTTGTGGGCCCGTGGCTACCAGTGTCTTTAGTGGGTGTGCAGCTAAACAGGGGCGCCCGGTAGTGGCGAAGTCTTCCCCTGTCCAGGGGCAGTGTGAATGATTGCAGGCGCGCGCTCGCGTGGCGTATAACCCCGCGTCGAGGCCGAACGCGGACGATAGGTAAATGTCATCGCATTTTCTCTGTCATCGTGGTATTTATGCTGGTTGTTATTCCCCATACTTGTAGAGAAAGGTAGCGAATTCTCGGTGTTTGGGAGCGGATGAGCTGGTAGATACGAGTGAGTGACTGGTGCGCTGAATTCGCTACTACCAGCGACACCTGGAGTGATGCGCCGTCCTGGGGCGACGTGTAGGTTACACACTATTCCCGCGTACCCTGCGGGCTATTCCAGGCTTCTCGGCCGCCCACTGACAGATTGGGAGGACTCTGCCAGTGTCTCGGCCGGCCGCTGACGTTATGTGAATATACGATACTGACCCAACAGAGGATGTTTCTCGCTGAATAACGAGTCTGTCTGAATCGAACACTGTTCTTTAGCGCTGGCTGGCATGTCCTCTTACGTCTTCTCTATGCTAAGCGACCGCCAGTTGAGCGCTCAATCAGTATTTTGACCAGTGGACATTAAGCACATCCCCAGAGTACGACCGACAAAGCTTTCCTCAGTGATAACAGCACTAACCATCGAACATCGCTCCAGTACACTTTATCTGTCCTGCCCTAACAGAGACACGAGATTCTCATACTGTTCACACGCAGCAAAATACAAGACAACGAACACAAAATCAGAACTTTATAGACCACAGCCCAGTACCCTTGCTCCCAAGCCAGAAGCGTCCACCCCCAACCAACACACATGCCAACGTAGTGAACTGTTTATTTTCCGCTTTTGATAAAAAGCATCCTAGCGCGGGCGTCCGCCGGTGACCCCAGGAGCGGGGCGGCGCGTCCGCCACCGCCGCCACCGCCGCTGGTGAGATTCCAGCGTCAATGTGACGTCACGATCCGTACCGGCCCACGGCGACAACAGAGAACTACGGGCCGAGCCGTCCGACGGGGGGGGGGGGGGAGGGGCGGCGGGTCGGTGCCCGCCAGTCGGAACCCAGCCGGCGGTCCGCCCGCCGCCGCCGGCACGCAGCGCGCGCGCCGCGCGGCCTCGCCCTCTCCAGCAGCGCAGGGCACCGACCCAACAGGAATTTTAGAAACATACTTGCGGTATAAAATCTATCAGAATATGTATTCAACACAACGCGGGCGGCACGTTGCACAATGTCCCCGCCGCCACCTGTGGGCCGCCGGCCAGATTCAGCTTCGCGCCGCCGCCGCCAGGCGGCAGCACGTCCGCCCTTCCTGCGCCCTCCCAGACTGCCGTCATTAAATTAAGGCCATCACACAAGATATAGTGGAGTGGAGCCGGGCGACGCGCCGCCGCCGCCGCAGCCCGCGTCGGAATCGTCACCGTCAGAGTCCGCGCGCGTCGCGACTGTCACAACGCGCCACGCTTCGCCGCATTACCACTATAACACAATTCACTCGATAATCTTAAGCACTTTTCCTATGGCGATCGTCTTGCCTGAAAGCAAGGAGCACGCTGTTAGATTCGCTCTCAACCAAGCTAAGACTCTGCGCTGACTGAAACTGGACTGGATTCAGAATCAGACCCAAGGTGAGGAATTTACAGCAAAATGGCAAATTAAAAAATGAAGTGTGAAAACTCCATTTTTCACTTCAAGAAAACGTCACCATTACATAAGCACTTTAGTTTGAAAGGATCAAACTGGACGTAACACAAAATGGAGAAAATCAGTCAGTAAAATAAGATGTTAAAGCGTAAGCTAATCTAACATTTTTTAGCCTGGGTCGGTGAACACCGTCCTTGTGGGGCCCGACCTTCTGGCGATTTTAAAGTAAACCACCATAAGTTGGGTTTAAACACACCCCACAAGCGGCCTGGCTTATGATAGCTAAGTCACGCGTTAGGGTGTAATGAAAAGTCCCCAGCGGATGGTCATCCGTCATAACAGCAAATCCCAAATTTTGGTCATTGGTCCGCCAAAGGCCCAAAGTCAACCAAGAAAGTCGTTCCAGCGAGTGTTTTCAGAGACATCATGCAATCAGTGCTAATGGTAACATTTTTTCTCAAATGTTATACCTAGGACGTTGTAGACCAATCCTAACCAGCCGACAGCCTGATATTTCAGACGGGATTATATTTCAGAGAAAGCAACATGTGCTTTCTCCGCAGTATCTTAGGACTGAAGCAGCTCGGATTACGCTGGTACTCGCTAGCATTAAAATAGATAGTTACACGTAAATCATTCTTCAGTCACGTACTTTGGAAAATATCCCCCAGAGATTCAGTTTCGAGCAGCGATTTAATTATCCGAAAATTCAAGGCCAACAACCAGTGGTACCGGTTACCAATAAATAAACAATAAAAAAAACGCTATTGAGTGAATTGAATGGACCCACTGGACTGAGGGACTATGTTTCTATGACGCATTTTCAGCAGTAAATGTCTGTCCCAGAAATTTCGTATTGCTCGCGCTCTGCAACTAAACGAGCACGATTATGCAAATCTACAATATAATTCATAGGTAAAAGAAACGCTTCCGTTCAACAGACGCAATGATAACGCTCCCCTTCCCTCCAGTACCTCGACCCACAACCCCACACCCTCCATTTCCCCGGCTGCACCCCGGCTGGCGTCTCGCTGCTTACCTTCGTCGCGTAGTGTGAATCGCCCGAGTTGAGGGAACTTTTTGAACACGTCTAGACAGATGGGCCCGCTCGACTCGAGGCGCATGATGACCACCTGGTCCTGTTTGACGAACCGTGGCCGAGTCTTGGACTTCTCTCCCGTCCGCTTGTCCACCATACACAGCAGCGCCTGAGGGGTCAGAGCGGGCCAGAGTGTCAGAGCGGACAGAATGACAGAGAGTTAGTCCGAGCCGCGCCTGTGGAATCACAGCAGCGACTGAGGTCAGAGGCGAGTCAGAGTGTCAGAGGAGCCTGCACATGTAGAGTCAGAGCGAGTCGGAGTCAGAGCAGCCTGAGGTCAGAGGCGAGTCAGATTGTCAGAGAATCAGAGCGGGTCAGAGTCAGAACAGCACCTGTGGAGTCAGAGCAGCACCTGTAGAGTCAGAGCGGGTCAAACGGCTCCAGCAGTAGCTAATGGCGAGGAGGTGGACGGGTTAAAGCAGCTCATCGAGAATGGGAGAAAGCTAGCCCTAAGCGAATTCGAGGTTCCATGGGGCGAAATATTTGGTGCAAAACCAAAGCACCGACGGAATATGAGTGGTAGTGTCTAGTGTGTCATCGAAATGTACATACCTTGTGGTAATGTCCTTAAAGGCGACGGATACACATTCATACTGAAAAAGTTAGGAGCAGTGACTGACAGTGGCAGGTCGTCAGTCAACCTCAGAGCGGCCTGTGGATCCGGCGGGTCACAGCAATGCCTGGAGGCAGCGTAGCAGTCTGTCTGTTGGTCCAAGTCGAAGTCCAGTCTGACTGTTCTGACTGCCCGGCAGGTGAAAGCAGTGCCACTAATAAGCTCGGTAGGCGGTAACATTGCCAAGTGGTGGCGGAAGGCCCAGCTCAGCCGGTCGACTAATTAGAAGAGCATATGGCATTGGCATGAGCAGAGGACAGCTGAGACCCATAAAGGAAAGGGTGGCACACTGGCTTGACGCGTCGCCCTGTTACATTATGTTCATGGGCGACAGATTATAAAATAACGCACAGCCGGATTACAGAACAACCACGCGCAAATAACGAACGCGGTGTGGTCGCTGCCGGTCTCCAACATTTTCACCATCACAGTAGATAGTCGCTCCCCACCATTCACCCCCGCACGTCACCCCTCACCCTCCACTGTGACGGTAAATCTCAACCAGTGACAGCGCGCATAGCCCCCCCCCCCCCCCCCCCCGGCTCCTTTGCCTTCCATCTCACCTTGACTGTGATCTCCTCGACACACGAGTGTAGGTGACAGATGGCCGAGTAGCCGGCGCAGATGATGGACTTGTGCTCCAGGATGGCCACCTGGGCGTCGAACACGCGGCCGGTCGGCACCGGCTGACTGGGGTCGCACATGACGAACCCTGACGAGATGTCGTTCTCGTCGACTCCCTTCAGCCGGATTTTGACGTTCTCTCCGCCGATAACGGAGGTGACCTCCTCGTCATCCGACCAGAGCGCGTCCACCTGGACGGACGTCTGACGGACGGACAGGGGGGGGGGGGTCAGAGGTGGGGGACCAAGGCGGCAGACCGAAGAAACGGACCTAAGAAAAATTTGCAACACTGGTTGTGTAAAATAGATGTTAGAGAGCCATGCGATACTGAGAACGGAAGGGTGAACTATGAAGGTATACGGTAGGCACAGCGGGAGCGGCCGTCAGTGTTGCCAGCTCGCCAGGAAGGACGGGAAGACTACTTTCGAAGTTTGAAAACAAGCGTGCGTCAGAATTCTCTTGAACGATCTGACATAATACGTTAACTTCACCGAACTCCAAGTTTAGTCCTAACAGGTATGACGATTTCCTCATTACAAAAGTCATCAATACATTGTATCTAGTTAGCGAGGGACGTGTATAAATGCGCCGATGGCGTTTCCTTACCCGGTTGGGCATCAGCAGCAGGGTCTGTCCCTTCTTGCAGGTGCCGCTCTCGACTTTGCCGAGCACTATGGTGCCCCGGTCAGAGTACTTGTCCACGATGGGCATCAGGAACGGGCCGTCCGGGTTGTGCTTCATCGACGGCAGAGAGTCGATGTAGTCGATGAACGGCTGCCCGCTGACGACGGTGGCGGGGAAAGACGGGGAGTGATGGCACGGGCCACACGGTGGTCTAATTTAAGCAGTAGAGGTCGGTAGAGCTCAGTATTGTTACACCGTGGTCAGTACGCAGTAGAGGTCGGTGGATTTCATGCAGCACTGTTACGCGGTGGTCGGTACGTAGTACCTAGACGTCGGTAGAGTTCGACAATGTCAGAGATGTCAGGCCTAGGTGTCAGTACAGACAACAGTCGCAGCAGGTGTGAGTGAAAACCACCAGGTGTATGCAGGCGAGTTTGATGTGGTCATGGAACAACCGTATATGTCGGTAGCTATATTGTCACAGGGAACGCCTGCCAGACAACTCACGGCATATCACGAAGGGGAGGTTTAGTAAAATCAACGTACGCTGTGACGACCAGCAACGTCAAATCAAACCGAACTGAGACCGCGAGAAGCGTTCACACGCGCCAATCGACACACCGCTACCGCCCGCCCGGCCAGCCGCCTCGGCCGGTCGGCGGTCTCCCGCTCTGAACTGACCTGTACCAGGGCGCCACCGCCGGGTCCACGGGCTCCTTGAGACCGGCCCCCGTCAGACCCGAACAGGGCATCATCGCCACGTCAGTCTTGGGGTTGAAGCCGCACTTCTTCAGGTAGGGCATCAGCTTGTCCTTGCACTCGTTGTACCTGCCGATTAGAGAACGGGATGACAAAGTTGACTACATTGGCACTGAAGAAAGCCGAGCCATTACTAGTTTGTCATTCCCGGGTCTAAACAGGCTGCTAATTCCCACTGACAAAGCCAAAGCGCGCGAAAAAGAACACGCCACGGGAGCGGGACACCAGTAACAATATACTAAACATAAGAATTAAGCGAAAATCAGAAGCACCTAAGCATAGCCGAAACATTTTGACGTGAGACCTCTTTCGAACCACCTGACCTAGTGAGTGTATAACTGACCTCTGTTCGGACCATTTCACCTGCTACTGACCTCTGTTCGGACCAGTTGACGGTGTGGTCGTCCATTTTGTTGACGAGTACCACCAGGTGTTTGACGCCGGCCGTCTTCACCAGCATGGCGTGCTCCCGGGTCTGGCCGCCGCGGTCGAAGCCCGTCTCAAACTCGCCCTTTCGCGCCGAGATCACCTGTAGGAGAGACGGCCATCAGCGGAGGGAAGGGCGCAACAGGAGCAGGGCAGGGCAGAGTGACTGGGTGGGCATAGGAAAGCAAAATAGGACGGGACGGGACGGGGAAGGGTAAAGACAAGCAAACGGACGAACAAAACAGGTACACATTAAGCAGAGGAACATATACCGTAGTAGACAGATACGAGACAGAAAGAACAGTCCAAAATAGCGACCCATCCATAATTCGCCACTCCACTACCCTCACTTCTCACTCTATCCCCTCTCCTACCGCTTTGGAATACCCTCTCCACCCCTTACTCTACCTTCTCCTCATTCATCCCCCGCCCGACCTCCCTCTGCCTCTCACCAGCACGGCCAGGTCGGCCTGTGACGCGCCGCCAATCATGTTCGGCACGAAACTCTTGTGGCCGGGCGCGTCCAGGATGGTGAAGTGTTTTTTCTCCGTCTCAAAGTACGCGCGCCCCACCTCCACCGTCTTGCCCTTGTCTCGCTCTGTAACGCGCACAGGGTCGGGTCAGTTCCCGGGGTGCAGATTTGGGACACTCAGCACGGTGAGGAACTTCTGTCCCGGTCGAGTACTAGACTGCTCGTGGTAACCGGCAGGGATAGTACACAACGCCGAGCCTACTCGTGTGTAAGAGAGCGCCTTACTAGCCGTAGCGTAAGCCATAACTAAGAGAAGTTGAAGCTTGTGCTATGTCTGTTCCATATCAAGCTTGCAGTCGGAGTTTTTCGGCAGATTACTCCTCCGCTCAAGAATTTGCGTCTTAACCCACGCCGGCACAGGGGGGGGGGGGGTGATGCAACCCCCCCCCCTAAGGTTTTTCGCGAATAACTCGCGTAAAAAGCGGCCGATCGCAACGAAACTTTCAGTATCCTCGCATTGATCAATTTTACACCTACCCTGCAAATTTCATGACCCTGACCCCTATGACCTTTGACCTGTGACCTCTTTTCTGTGACCATGTTTGGCCGAAATCGCGGTTCGGCGCATGTCGGCTCGCATTAGCCGCGCGATTGCAAGCTTTTCGTGGTTTCAAACGTTCAAACATGTGATTTGATGTTGCTCCCATGCATTAGGGTGGGTGTCAAGGTCACCTGAAGGTCAGGTCAGGTCATTGACCTTTGGTGACCTCGGGTGACCTCGGTTCACTTTTTCGAGTTTTACATGTTTCTAGCCTAGTTTTTGGAGCTGAATACGAATTTAGCAACCATTTGGACATTTACGAAGTAGTTTTGGTGCCTTCGTAACATGTTACGAAGCTGTCCGAGGCGGTTGACACGTATTACGAATACCCGTCACAGCCCCTACCGGTTGACCTGACCTGACCTGACCCGACCTGGTCTAAATGCTTAAAGACATCATCTCTGATCAAAACTAACACGATATTCGTGATCAGCACCCCGGAAAACCACATAGAAGCCACACTTTACGACTTTCTAACAGGTCCCGATTTTCCCGGTTTTCGGGTCATTCACCTGACCTGGAAGGTCACCCGATCACCTAGGACCTTAAAATTGGGTATCATCGGCTTCCTCTCGTGACGCGCAACACGCTCGTTTTTTCCGCGAAGCTCTAGCTCGATCAGGGGCCAAACGCGAGGGGGGGTCGTACCAACCCCCCCCCCCCTTGTGCCGTCGAAGGACTCAAAATGGCCTGTGCCGGCGAGGGTTAACCCTCGCATGTGTAGGGGGGGGGTCGGATGGACCCCCCCATGGTTTTTCGCGAATAACTCGCGTAAAAAGCGGCCGATCGCGACGAAACTTTCAGTACCCTCGCATTGATCAATTTTACACCTACCCTGAAAATTTCATGACCCTGACCCAAATGACCTTTGACCTGTGACCTCTTTTCCGAGACCATGTTTGGCCGGAATCGCGATTTCGCGTATGTCGGCTCGCACTAGCCGCGCGTTTGCAAGCTTTTCGTGGTTTCAAACGTTCAAACATGTGATTTGATGTTACTCCCGTGTGTGTCAAGGTCACCTGAAGGTCAGGTCAGGTCATTGACCTTTGGTGACCTCGGGTGACCTCGGGTCACTTTTTCGAGTTTTACATGTTTCTAGGCTAGTTTTTGGAGCTGAATTCGAATTTAGCAACCATTTGAACATTTACGAAGTAGTTTTGGTGACTTCGTAACATGTTAAGAAGCTGTCAGAGGCGGTTGACACGTACTACGAATACCCGTCACGACGCTTACTGGTTGACCTGACCTGACCTGACCCGACCTGGTCTAAATGCTTCAAGACATCATCTGTGATCAAAACTAACACGATATTCGTGATCAGCACCCCGAAAAACCCCTTAGCAGCCACACTTTACGACTTTCTAACAGGTCCCGATTTTCCCGACTTTGGGTCATTGACCTGACCTGGAAGGTCAACCAATGACCTAGGACCTTAAAATTGGGTATCATCGGCTTCCTCTCGTCACGGGCAACACGCTCGTTTTTTCCGCGAAGCTCTAGCTCGATCAGGGGCCAAACGGCAAGGAGGGGGGGGGGGTCCAACCGACCCCCCCCCCCTACACATTAGAAGCTGGCAAACGCCGCACACATGCGAGGGTTAAAATGTAAGAGCTGTAGGTATATACAGAAATCACGCACTGCTTTCAGGCCTGCCGTTCATTCCCATTCAGCATTCCTGCTCAGAAAAACACACATGATTGATTAATTAAAGGTTGAGCTTACTTATCAGACTTCGGTTGACACAAACTCGATATTGCAGCAGGTCAATGTGCCTATTAATGCTCTCCCCTCCCTCTCAATACAATCAACACCACACTAAAACAAAACCAAAGCTAAGCTCGCCTGTATCTGCGACGGACGCGTCATCAGACCATTTGTTAGTACATACTAGTGGTGTCATTTTCCAAAAAATGTCTGACCGATACCGACCGAAACCAAAATTTGGGAAAAATTTCCGACCGAATACCGACCGATAACATCCCAAGCCAAAGTTTGACCGAAATTTGACCGAAATACCCCAAAATTAAAATAATTGGTAAATTCTGATGGAAAATAATGGGAAATGGCATTTCAGTCCAAATTCAGTCAATTCCTAGCCACTGCAAAATACATTTTGTGGTAGAAGTTACATTGCTAAGGGTAGACTAGGAACACATGGACCTCAGCATTTCACAGATTTGGTTAATTAGAATTGTCAAGAATCTGCTGTGGTCTGTGTAAGGAAGAATACTCATTCATGGTGCAAAAGCACGATCAATTAGTAAGTCCAATGGTTGGTAATAGGTATGTTCATGACAACATTCCCTAGGAGAAAAGGCAGAATCAAAACACCACAAAACACATCAACACTGCTTGGGAACTGGCCTTGAGTCTTGAGATGTGGTCTGAGACACTCTACGAAGAATTTGACACTGAAAATCCAGCTGACAAGGCAGGTATTAGGTAGCTCTGAGCCTGAATTTCGTCCCAAAAATGAAATGAAAATTCATTAAACTGGCACTTTGTCTTATCTTTACAAGAAAACACAATATGCAGACAAAATTAATACAATTGGCGCAAAACAATAGTAGAACCCAGTAGAACCCAAGTAGAACCAAGGATTGACTTTTAAGATCCTCTCTTCCCTAACTAAAGGATGTAAGACGATGACGTAATATTTATTTATATGCCCTTTTGGTTGAATTATTGAAGTGAAACTAATTTTCTTGAAGTGAATTACACAATACACTTACAATGTTGATTTCATTAGACTTCAAATCAAAATCGTGTTGGAACATTTACATCAATAAAATCATTCACGATGCAGCATGTAACAATCCAAAACCTTTTTTTGCAGCAACTTAATCAGCTGGTTTAAAGTCTCTGTTATGGCGCATCTGTTTCAAAATCCCTTGTGTTTGGAGATGATGTGGAAGATTCCAGAAAGCGGACACCTATGTTTTTAATTTTTATGTTGTGGTCATCTAGATTTCAAACATTTGGTTGGTACCTGCAATATTTAAGGAGAATGTGGAATAGTAGGTACCTAGAACACCTGTGAAATGTAAATTGAAATGTGATCACTGCTAAGTGTTTAGTGCTAACTGTCCAGTCTTCAGAAACACATTTCAGTAATTCAAGTTATTTTTGTCCTTGCATTTTTGATCACTGTATAATGATTTTTGTAGGCAATACTTCTTTGATTACAGGTGATATCTTAACAGTTAGACTGGAATTGAGTTTCGAAATTGTGTGTATTTGTGGGGCCAACTGAGTCAAAATAAGCCTGCTTGTAGTTGTGGTTGCACAATGGGTGGCTGCTGCCTGCTGGGTGGGATCAGGATGGGTACTGAAGTTGCCAAAATGTGGCATCTCTTGTAGCTTTTGGGGGAAATTTTGCAACTCTTTATCATTAACATCCCAATAAATTTCATTTTAACTAGGCAAAAATGGAATACTTTCTTTTTTTGAAAATGGCTTCACTGGCAGGGTGACCGAAAGTGTCCGATTTTTGGGGGGCCTGACCGACCGATTACCGAATCGGTCAGCATATCTTTTCGGTAACCGAAATTTTCGGTAACCGATTGACATCACTAGTACATACCTTCCAGGTTGGTGTCGAGCGCCCAGCTGAGGTACCACGTCTCGCGGTTTTTCTCCTTGGCTTCCTTCTCATACTTCTCCAATGTCCGCTTGTCCACCATTCCCGTGAGGTACATGATCTGTCCGCCGATTGTCGACTTGCCCGCGTCTGAGGCACAGGTCAGGTCAGGTCAGGCCGGGTCAGGTCAGGTCAAGTCAGAATACGATAACGGAATACATATCGGCTATCAAACCCATACGGAACAAAAAAAAATCAGCCTTATCAAAAAGGAGAGCCTGCGCTGCAATTGACAAAAAACAGCTGGTGAAACCAGAAGGATATTGGCCGAAAAGCAGCATGTTGCAATTTTTTTTTTTTTTCTCATACATGCGATCAGCTTTCTTGACTTTGTATAGACCGCAGCCAGACTAAACAATGTGTTACATAAACAACGCAAAGTTGATATTGAACGAAATAATCAAAAGGAAACATTACGGGGAATAGATAACGAAAATAAATGTCTAGCTCAAGATGCCTAGATCAAATTCCAGGCTGGCAAAAACGACCATCAAGACGTCAGCAAGCTACACTTCTAATGGCCATGGCAACGTGATACCTACGTGTTAGCGCCTAAACGTACCAAACCAAGGCTACCAGCCGCTCTCAGGCCGCTAGGAAAACAGAGCAATGACAACACAGACACGTGTCGACGTGATAGCTACATAGTTATTCTCGGTCTGTTCGAGCGCCAGAATGGCCAGCACAAACTGCGACCTCTGGTACGTACCAACGTGACCGATAAACACCATGTTGACGTGCTCCTTGGTCTTCTCACGCTCGGACGCCTGGCGCACCTTCTTCTTGCGCGGCTTCAGGTCCTTGGACTCACTGCCGTCCTCTTCGTCATCGTCCTCGCCGTCATCCTCCTCATTGGGGGTTACTGGGGGTCACAGGTCACGGCGGGTCACGGTGGGTTACGGCGTATCACTGCAGGTCACATCGAGGCAGCAGCCACGGTAGAGCACATATTAGGACAGGGAGTCATAGCAAAACAAAAACATGACAAAATAATAAAGACATAACAAAGACACCTGACCACTGCTGCCGTGCAAAGGAAAAAAAGGGTGAGGTGATTTTAATACATTTTTTGATATTTATATCAAATGAAAGCTCTTTTCGAGGCGAATTCAATGGTGTAGTTCATAAGCATTATTGAATAAAAATTTATGCCGAAAATCTAAATTTGAAAGTTGGCATTAAGCCGTGATTTGGAATGCCACACAAAATTGGGTTTTGGTCGTGTGGAAAAAAGCCGTGAAATCCCACCCTTTTTTTCCATGATCTTGAGTGCTGGCGATGCAATGGAAAAAAGGGTGAGATAAAGCGTGACCCCGTCCGGTGGCCAGGGGACCTCTGCCGCGGAGCAGGGGACCTCTGCTGGAGAGCGGGCCGCGGAGCAGGGCGTGACCCCGTCCGGTGGCCAGGGGACCTCTGCCGCGGAGCAGGGGACCTCTGCTGGAGAGCGGGCCGCGGAGCAGGGCGTGACCCCGTCCGGTGGCCAGGGGACCTCTGCCGCGGAGCACGGGACCTTTGCTGGAGAGCGGGCCGTGGAGCAGGGCGTGACCCCGTCCGGTGGCCAGGGGACCTCTGCCGCGGAGCACGGGACCTCTGCTGGAGAGCGGGCCGCGGAGCAGGGGGTGACCCCGTCCGGTGGCCAGGGGACCTCTGCCGCGGAGCACGGGACCTCTGCTGGAGAGCGGGCCGCGGAGCAGGGCGTGACCCCGTCCGGTGGCCAGGGGACCTCTGCCGCGGAGCAGGGGACCTCTGCTGGAGAGCGGGCCGCGGAGCAGGGCGTGACCCCGTCCGGTGGCCAGGGGACCTCTGCCGCGGAGCAGTGGACCCCGGCCGCGGAGCAGGGGACTGCTGCAGTGGAGCAGGGCGAGACTCCAGCCGCGGAGCAGGGTACCTCAGCCGTGGAGCAGGGCGGGACCCCAGCCGCAGAGCAGGGGACCTTCGTCGGGGAGCAAGACCCCTGGGCTGTGTCGACAGAGGTCGCGACTCATGACGTGATTGGTCTGACTGACATAAATGACCTAGTTGATCCGGGACCTTTTGATTTCCTGCGACTCCTGGATACGTCCGGCAGTGACATGTCGTCATTCAACGATGTACCCCTCGCTGACCTATCGATTGCTTCCTCTGGTCCCTCTGGTACCGGCGCAGCAGGTGATAGTGACATGGCCCCTATGGCCCCGCCCCACCCACGTAGCGCCGCTCATGCGTCTAGCTGGGGAGGCTTTCCGACAGCACACACCGCAAATGTCGATCCAGACGACCCGAAACCACGGTCCATGGACTGCGGTGGAGATGGACTTGACGCTGCCTCGATTAGCACCCACGGGGCTTCTTCCTCAGTAGATGGGGCATCCGATGCTCCTCGTCCGACAACGGTGGGCAGTCACACGGGCGCAAAAAAACGAGCTCGTACTCAGGAACACCAAATTCTGGGCTTTAAACAGAAGCATGCAGTCCGTCCCATGCCTCCTGCCTGCAGCAATCGCACGTGCTCATTCGGTTGTGCCACTCACTTCAGTGAAGAACAACGCCAGGCCATCAACGAGGCCGTCAATTCACTTTCCAGGGAGGCTAGGATGCAGTGGTACGCCACTCACGTGCGAGACATTTCTCCCATTGTCACTGACAGCCCACCACTCACCAACACCGCATCTGCCAAGCGGCGCATCATCGCCTACCGTCTCCCTGTAGCTGGAGAACAGGTCGATCCAAGGGTGTGCAAGGAGTTCTGTCTCACAACCCTCGGCTTCGCAGCGAACAATGACGGTCCGATCATATCTGCCGTGGGACGACTCATCCCAAAGCAGGACAGGCGGGGGCGCGCGGCAAACCCGGTGGCAGCCAAACTCGAGGACGAGCTGCAGCGGCACATTGAGCGGTACCGTCCGATGGCACCGCACTACCGCTGCATGCACGCCCCCAGACGCCGATATCTCGCACCGGACCTCAACGCAGCTGTGATGTACCAGCAGCTTGTGGAGGAAAAGGGCAAGATCTGCTCTTACGAGCGGTTTCGCAAAGCGCTGCGAAGTGCCAACGTGTCGCTCGCTCGCTTAGGCCAAGAAGAGTGCGAGATATGTACTGCATTTGACCACCACGTGAAAACTTGCTTTGAACATGAGTCGTGCAGCACGTGCCAGGAACACGCCGCCCACCACGATCGCGCCGAACAGGCTAGGGCAGAGTACGCCCGAGACCGCGAAACCACAGCGTCAGCAGAGTCGCACCTGATTGTGTCCGTGGACATGATGAGGGTCGCTCTCCTTCCCATCCTCCCTCACAAAGTGTGCGTATTCACCCCGCGACTTGTAACTTACAACGAGACTTTCGCGCCGTTGGGAGGAAAGGGGGCTGTGTCCGTCTTGTGGCACGAGGGCGTGTCTGGCCGAGATGCACCAGACGTCGCTTCAACATTCATTAAGTTCGTGGAGCTGAACCACAGCACGAAACAGTTCACCTTCTGGGCAGATAACTGCTCTGCCCAAAACAAAAACTGGACCTTACTCTCGGCTCTTCAAAATTGTGTCAACAGGAGCGATCTTGCAGTCAAAACCATCACAGTCAAGTTTTTAGAGAAGGGACATACTAGTATGTCTGCTGATGCGGTGCATCAGGTGGTGAGCAAAAAACTTTCAAAATCTAGTGTGCGTGTGCAAGACTTTCGGGACTACGTTGTGGCATGTGAGATGGCGGGCTCAGTGCATGTGATGGCGCCGGGAGATTTTTTCGATGTCAGCAGTGGGGTGAGCGCTACGAAGCTGAAGCGTCTCGCTGATGAGGAGAAGCGACCGCTCCTGCGGGAAATAAAGGTCGTTCAGGTGCGGCGGGACGACGACCGACTGTACGTGAAGGTCGTCCATGGGCACCCAAAGTGGTCGGCTTACGACCTTTTCAAAACAACTTTTATTCCATGTGAGCAGCCAGAGAGGCGAACGACTCCCAGGGGGGCTAACAAGGAAAAGTTGGCCAAAATCATCAACAACCTAACACCTCTTATGGATGGTCATAAGACCGCCTTCTGGCTATCCCTCAACGGGACAAACGTCCGTGACCTGATGGGATAGGCTGCTGCCTAGCCGTCAATAACACGGAAGATGGCTGAGCTGACCAGTGAAATGTTTGAAGTGGTGTTCAGTTTGTAGACGTATCGACTGTTTTGATGTTTTATAGCCGTCAATACTACGGAAAATGGCTGAAATGTTTGAATGTTTGTATTCGTGTCGACTGTTTGATGTCTTAGCAGGATTCCCCAATACAGGAATGTCGAACTATTTTGTTTAATTCTGTATAAGGTTTAATGTGGTTAATGTTTAAGACATGTAATAGGTAGGTAATAACGGACTATCAGCTATGATAAAATGGCATTTTCCCAAACCTAGGATGCAATATGCAGCCATCTAGGCATGCAGACTAATTGCGTATTATTCGTCGGACGAATATGATGTCTACCACGTCCGCGTCCTATCAGTATCAACTTAATGAGACCAACCGCCCGCCCTTAAGCTAGGTCAAACACTAGTTAAACCCAGACATTCATTCATTCATTCATTCATTCATTCATTTACGCGTCTACCCTTTTCTTCCACACCGCCAAATGTTTAATAGTTCGTGGCAAAAAGCCGTGAAATCGCTTGATCACCTGACGGCTTTTTTCCACACCGCTTGTTGGAAATTTCGCAAGCCAGTTACAAAGGAAAAAAAAGATAGGCATTTTAAGCTTATCTAAGAAAACATTACACGATTATATTAGTATCAGAAGAAACATTGAAACATGACGTTTTGTTTGGTACCAAAATCGTCATTCTGACGTGTGGCACTTTAAAGTTATAACTCATTTTTGGTCGCGACAACCTTTTCGTCCCTCCTGTGAAATCAATTTTTGGCCAGACAGGATCTCACCCTTTTTTTCCTTTGCACGGCAGACTGGGTCAAGCCACTGATAGTTGACCACTACTCACTGGGGCACTGACTGTAAGTTACTCACCAATCACTATTAACCACTGACCAATAACCACCAGCCAACAACTGTTAAGCACTAACCATAAGCTAACTGATGACCACTGACCATTAACCACCAACCATTTACCTGACCATTAAAAACCACAGACCACTCGAGACCAGGGCCTCATTTCATAAAGCGAGTCCGTACCTTACGCCGGTTTTTGGTCTTGTATTGCAAGTGTATATGAAGCGATAAACTTATTTTTTCCTTCTCCCTCCTGTTCTTGCTTACAAGATAAATAAGTTCAACGATTCAAACTATCTTCATCGCTTCACATGCACTTGCAATACAAGACCGGAAACCGGCGTAAGTTACGGACTCGCTTTATGAAACGAGGCCCTGGTAGACAACTGCCACCGCCCCCCGACTGGTGTCCACTGACCGGCCTCCGAGGTGGTGTCGGCTTCCTCCCAGTTGTCCACCGGCCCGTCACCGGCCGACGACTGCTGGCCGCTCGCCTCATCACCCGGGGTGGTCGCCGCCGACGCAGACGGCGAGGACTCGACTCGACCTGCCCCGTCCTCGGGTGGAGGCGGATCTGTGTGAGCAGGCAGGGGACGACGGGTCAGGTCAGCGGGGCGGCAGTCACAGGGGACAGGGTCCAGTCGGGACAGAAGCGTTGTCGTCGAAGTATAGTACCGTCGAAAAATATAACCGTCGAATTATGATGACAGTCAATATTCGATTAGTGCAATACTCCTTGGATGAAGTCAAACCTCTGGAGTACTTGTGACAGTCTTTCAGTTATCCTCTATGTGGTTTAGCGGGTTAGCGGTGAGGCACCCATCTCAGACTCAGTAACAGCAATATGGCGACTAGAAATCAGTGGGCTGTTCTGCCAGCATAGTCAATGTTAGCAAATAATCGGCGAGAGGGTTTTGTAATAGACCCAGGAGGACCGTGCAGACATCCACTTGGTCTGAATTCATACAGGGAATGGGATGCTGTTGAGCTGGTTGGGTGGATGTCAGTGGCCCAATAGACTGTCTTGAAGTCAATTCAATTATCATTGCATGCCTACCTAGCCATTGAAAATTGTGGCCATTGATTTATATGCTTCATAGAAGACTGCCACACACTTCAATATTTCTAGATTTTGACCAAACAAAGACAACAGTGATGTTTGTCTTACCGATGCATAGCAAACATTTTATTTTTAAAAATTAGTTCCAAAATCATGTCAAGGTAAAAGCTTTAAAATATGGTCTATTACCAACTAATAGATTCACTCAAATATAAACCAATCCTTAGTGGGTTAAAGCGGTTAATTGCAGAACATCCAATATGATTCATTTTAATAGCTACAAGATCCTTACCATTTAAATTTGATAAGGATTCCTAAATTCTAAAGCACTTTTGAGATACTTGATTTTTGGAAACAATGGTAAAGGACAAAAAAAAGGCCAAAGTGCATGAAAAAGTGATTAACAACTTGATAATGAGACAGTACCTATCCCTCAACTATTTTTATTCAGCCAGCTGACAACTGGGAATAGGGACAGCTAGACCTGGAGCTACACCAGCTAAACCACTAAAATTATCAACTGTAACCTGGGCACAGGAAAGGTCAGGTGGCTGCCCTTGGTGTCATTATCAACACTAATAGGCACTGTTCAATGGGGCACACAGGCCCACAGCCACCAATACATCAATCCTGGGAAAATCTTCAAAACAAAAATAAGAATATGCCAACATTAATAGCCATTGTATTTCAGTTGAGACAAGTATAATAACACGGAACAAAAATGATAGACGAACGCGCTTCGGCTAAATCACCGTCATCAGCGTCTAAAAGCAGAGCAGAGACGCTGATGACGGTGATTTAGCCGAAACGCGTTCATCTATCATTTTTGTTCCGTGTTATCAATAGCCATATTAGTCATCAATATCATATTCTTAGACAATCAGAATCTGAGCACCAAAATGCCAGCTAGAATGACAGCAGCAAAGCAGGACACAATTTAAATGCTAGTTCCATTAGTAGCAAGTCACTATTAAAGCCTAATACTTCTGTGCTGCATCTTTTTTTTTAGTTAGGACTTAGGCATATGCAAACCTTTAGTTTTTAGCAACTATTGACCCAAACAATTACAATGTATAACTATAATGCACAAAGTCTGTTGGGATGCAGTTGCTTTCTCATGATTTTTTGTCAAAAATAGACTGTGTTCAGGTCTCATGCCACTCTTCTGGGCAAGTGTGTTCTTCCAGTCATTTTAATTTAGCCACTTCCAGCATTTCTTAGGGTGCGGTAAATGTTTGTGTAGCTCATACCATTTCAAATGTGTTGTCACCAGCATGTAAGTATTAAAACACCAAGGCTGGGTCCACACCATTCTATGCTAGATATGCATCGTACAAAAGAGATCCGCACCCAATGCAACAGACGTGAACTTACAAAATGCTGTTGACTTTGCCAGACTTTGCAGTCAAGTTTTAACAGAAAGGAGTTTTCTTTCAGCAATTCTTGTCACATCAATTCAAATACATTTATGATCAGACAGATAAAATCACACAAAACATTGTAACATATGTCCATGTCCTACCACATATGGTGTGCCTTGTAAACATATACAAATGTCAGTAATAAACCATAGGCTACAGTGAAATGAAAAATCATACATTGTAATAGCTTTCCCAAAAATAACTGCATTATTGTAGTCAAGAAAAAATAAATAAATGCTTCTTGAAGTTATACCTACCCGGCGCTGCAGGTGTAGCCCACGAGGGCACGAACTCGGCCGCGTTTACGTTGAGCTTTGACAGATTCTGTTCAACTTCTGAGGTGGACTGTTCCATTATTTCGATGGAAAAAGGCTAAATGTCTTAGCACTTGTCTAACAAAGAGGTAATTAATCAGATAATAACGAAACGGACCTAACCCAACGCGCCACGTTTGCCTCGATAACCGGAAGCGCCACTGTTCTGTCTACTAGTTATACTAAATCTAGGATAAAGTGTCAAAGCACCTTCTAAGAATAAATGAAATTGAATTGTGAATATATCAAAGTCAGAAATATACATTTTTGTTAATTTTGAATGAAGATCTAAATTCATCAAGGATTGAAATTTAATTTTGTCTCCCTAATAATCAATATGTAAATACTACTAGCAACTAGTACCACAGCATCAGTAGAGATGCAACATTTTGTCACTGCGTTCCCAAAAGGTGGTTTTGCATCACTGTTTTGTCGTCGGCTTGGGTTATGTGTTTTCAGGGACGGCGTGTTTGTGTGATGCAGGAGTCAGGACGTCACCATCGTGGGGGGAGGAGGGTCAGTAAAGTCCGGCCCCGTTCATGAACGGCGAGGGTGCTGTCACCCCGCCAGCCAGCCAGCCACCGTGTCAGTCATTCCCGGCGGTGCAGGGGCGCGGGAACTACTTACAAGCTGGGGGGGGGGGGGGGGGCAGGGGCAGGGCACACCTGATTCTTCCCAGAACCTAGGGTAACCCCAAATCTAGTTTTCTCGCCGGTTTTAGGCCACTTATTTTTCACCCCTTGACCTTTTCAATGAAAAGAACGAAAAGAAAACATTTGCAAAAAAAAACTGAGATGGGGTATGTAACTATTCCGTCTCATTTGAGCCAAGGAAATACGCTTTTGGAACCGCCGAATAATGTTGTAACTCGTCCACATGGACTCTCAAGCCAGGCCTAAATAGGTTTTTATTTAAATGTTTTCTTTCATTCAGGTTTCTTTTCACTTTTGTGAACCACGACATAGGTGGCGGAACGGGGAGGGCACCGCGGGGTACCGTACTCCCTTTTGATTTTGGCATTTCATTTGCCCTATGGGCGTTGCATGAAAAGAATGGGACCAAAAGTCGGCAGTGCCCCCTTAGCTGAAGGTGTTCCGCCGCTACTGAACCACGACCCGACCGCTAATTCATGGAATACGAGCTGCGCCGACGGCTCCTGGCCCTACGAAAAGTTGTGAAGGCAGCGCATCCAGAATTGTGGGAGCAGGCTGCCCCCATCTACTTAGTGCAAAAAAAACGCATTGAGATATCTGCAAAAAACCGCAGGGGGGGGGGGGTGTTCAAACACCTCCGGCCCGGCGCGGGCCGGGGGTGGTCCACTATGCCCCTCGCTAGGGAATGCCTATTCTATTTTTACTGATAGATTCCTCTTTTACAAGAGATCAAACTGCTGAGCTACTTCATGCGAAACTAATGGTAGCGCTGGTAACGGTGCAGCTCTGCGTTTCCCCTGTGAACGGACCGGTGAGCCGTTTTCTCCTTCAGGCCCCTCCAGGACGCGCGCCGGACGGGTCCTGGGTCTGGCTGCACACTGCTGGGCAGAGGGGTCATTCCACATGGCTGCTCAGCCGGCCACCGCTCCAGAATCGGTGTCTCGTGAACCGTGCCGACCTGTCCGCGCCGGCAGCGCGACCCAAAACCGGCCCTTCCTGTCACCGCCCCCTCGGCGGTGGAGCGCAGTGCCGGCGTGGAGTGGATGACACACCGTCAGGCACCGGTGATTGGTGTCAAAAGTACGTGTACTGGAACGGTGTCAACAGCAGCGTATTAAGTACGGTGACAACTGACGGAAAGGGATGGGAGGAGGGATATAGGGACAAAAAGAGGGAGACCCGAGACAGAAAGCAAGACTAACAGGGAACTGGGAGATGGAGCATCGTGGAAACAAGAGCAATGTGTTTAGAGTTGTTGCAAAACCAATATTACGTTAAAGGGACCCTCCCACCTTCAAAAAAGTTTATGAATTGGCATGAAAGTGATGTCGCTCGGTTCAGAAAGAGCGAAAACGAATATTTACCAAATTTCACCGAAAAATATTCACCGGTTTTCAAGATATTAGACTTTTACTTTTGTTTACTTTTTTGGGATCTCCGCTGTTCCTAGCGACTTTATTTGGAAGCAATAGTTTGGCAGCTGAAAGTGCGGCACTTAATGCGCGCAAAGCAGCATATACCACCGCGTGCTACAAAACGTTTTAGTCCAGTGGTCGGCAGGTCCTCCGGGGTCGTGCCCCCTTTTTTGGCGCCAGGCAGGGCCATTACCCCACCTACCAGACCCCATTGCTGATACAACCACGGTTACTGAAATTCCATACTTTTCCGTGACTCTTTGGGTACCACATCTGCGAGAAACCGCAGGCCCCCTCCCCTGCGGTTTCTCGCAAATATCTCAAAAACGTTGGCACGGAGCGCCACCATTTTGGAACAATTGATCATACATCGTTTCTGCAGATGTTGTTAATATTTCAGACCAGAGTCACTCAAGGTCAGGTCACCAGATCAGTGAGGTCACGTCAAGTGACCTCACCTCAGTAAAGACTGTAACGCCTGCTTTAGCTGCATTGAGTGACAGGTCTCTTTCAAACTTTCAGGAATTGATAAAGGCAACAGCATGTACAAAATTTGTATCTCAGAGATTTGATGTCGGTGACCAAAGTTAAGGTCAATTTCACGCCCTCTCCCATTATCAATGGGAGAGGGCGCAAAGTAAATGGTAGAAAATTGAAAGGCGCCTCTTTTGGACCAGTGTCATTCCTAACACTGTGACACTCTTATTTACAAGTAAACATGACCGCTGAACCGGAAAATTGCACCCGTAACCCCGCTGTATGTCCCTGAGATCATTTCAGGTCATGAATGGTATCTAACAGCTTTTCGGTAATAACTTTTGATAAAGGCATGCCAGGGCGATGAAAATGCCTTAGATGTGTTCAGCTCGACGATACGGATCGACTGATGTGCAACAAAACAAACCCTTCGATGTTTCTCGACGGGAGGATCACGATGCTGATAAAAGTGAGCTCTTGCAAGTTTTGAGTGACAAGTTATTTAAGAAAAACTATCAGCAAGCAACGTACATTTTGGCAGTTTTTGTCTCCTGCAGGCTAAACCGTTAATCTTCGGTTGAATCTGAGGGCAGGCATAAGAAAAAACGTTAAAGAGAGCTATCGAATGCGTTTTTCCGCAGCGCTGTAGCTCTATCCTTTCCTGAGCTATAGGCCAGTTTGTCGAAAACTGTCAAAGGTTGACCTGGAAATTGGCGAAATTTTACGTTCGATGACCTCTGGTGACCTGACCTTTGATTTGACCTAAAAAGTGACCATATTTTTTTCTTCATCATTTCTTACGCTCTTTCAATCGCCGACTACGGCGTTTCGCTAGTGACCCAGGAGCCAAGTTAGTAGGGGGTGTTCAACCTCCACCTCCAGCAGGGCGTGGAAATCCAGGAGCCCCAGCGGGGCGCGGGTTAACCCCCATACGTATAGGGGTAGCGGGTATTTTTCGGGAATAGATCACGTTAAAAGGGTCGGATTACGAAAAAACTGTACCATCGAGCCGATCATTTTTATCTGTCCTGAAAATGGCATGACCTTAACCCGAATAACCGTTGATTTGTGGGATCTTTCTTGAGATCATGGCAGGCCACAAAATCTCACTTCAAAAAGTTACAGCAGGACCCGATTTACTCGGCAGTTGTTATTGACCTATGGAAGGTCACCCAATGACCAACGACCTTTAAATTGGGTAGCAGCGGCTGCTTATCTTCACGGGCAACACGCTCAATTTTTCTGCAAAGCTCCAGCTCAGAGACCGAGGTGCCCAGGTCAGGGTGCCATGGACGACTCCTCTCCCTTGCGTTAGTGACTGTGAAAACGCCAATAGACGAGCGCCGGTTGGTAGGTACATGACAGTTACTTTCAACGACTGTACGGAATGGTGAGCAGCTACATGAAAATTGACATGCGCCAGCTCATCAGTTCATGCTTTGTGCGTTTGACCTCGACTAATCTTTGAATCCTGGGGCACAGTTGCGATGTTTGTCCCATCAAGGGAGCCATTAAATCTAAAAAAGATGAGGCTTTCTCAGAGGCCCTCATTACCCCCCGCCGAAGGGCGCCATTACCCCCAAAGGGGGCATGCCCCACCATTTGCCGACCCCTGTTTTAGTCAAACATTAAAAAAATCGTTAGATATTTGCGCTGACGTCACACATTCAGAGGGGTATTCCTATGCATTAGACCCTCTGAAACAAAATGCTGCAATTTTGAAATTCAATATTTCCGATTTAAGGCATTTCTCGATGTTGTGAGTGCCGAAACCGATAATTGTGAGCCAGGGACCCCATTTTGGCTATCTCAACTCAAATCTAATGGTGGGAGGGTCCCTTTAAAAAGTCAGTAGGGGAGAGTGGGGTAAGATGCCCAGGGTGGGAAAGACGCCCCACCCCCTCTAGCGGCGAAATAAAGAATCGGACCTGGAAATTAATGTTCTTAGCGTAAAGCGGAAGCCTGCCTTGTTAACTGCACAAAAAATTGCGAAGCTCAGTTGGGCAACGGCTGGCTGATGATTGCATGTTTTTTATTTGCTGCTTTCAAAAAATATTTTGGTGTCAGAACATTGTAAATATCAAAGAAGGTAAATAATTTTTGCGTCCCTTGCTATAGTCGTGATACATTAGCATGCGTGTACTGTGTCTCAAACAGTTTGTTTCAGGGTGTAGTTTTATGGCTAACAAATTGTACTGATTTAATGTTACTTCGGTACCTTGGGGTAAGATGCCCCCTGTCCTGATGGGGAAAGACGCCCCCCTAAATCCGTAGGCTGTCCTTCAAACAGCCCGTCAAATCATTTATTACATACTTGTGATGTAGACAAAAGCCGATCTGGGACTATTGAGAGTCCAGTACGGTCGGGTGCTCCCCATGCCGGTCTCTCGGCCCACATAGCGACTTTTTGGGCGGCATCTGACTCTGAGAGCCCTCACGACGGCCTCTGTGGGCCCCATTATTGGCTCCAGGGCCCTTCACGACATCCTTTGAGGGCTCCCACGTTGGCCCCACGGGCCGCGCTGGCATCAGAGGTCCCCACGATGGGCTCGAGGGCCCTCAAGCATCATGAAGACCTATAAGAGCCCCACAGTGGTCTCCGAACGCCACCACGGAGGCTTGTTTGGCCGCGCTGGACTATGATGGCTCTAACG